AACCTGGGACCTTTCAGTCCACAGGCCGATACTCTATCCACTGAACCAAACCAGCCAGGGCAAGAGCTCATTTCTGATAGAAGTAGGTTTCCAGAGGACTTTTAACAAATGAGCCATTTTGCACCTTCAAGTGGAGGAGCTGGGCTGACCAGCACAGCAGGAACTTTAAGTGGCATTTTCCTTTTTTATATCTTAAAATGAAAATTATGGCATGAATTGCTATGCTTTTAGTAATCACATTTAAGGAAGTCCATTGCTAGCATGACCCTGAATGAGTCAAGGGCCCATTATAAAACATATATCATCTGAATGATACCATATCATACACATCTAGTAGTGAAAAAAACTTTTATTTTTCATAGTTTGGAGGTGAACTCAGTCATGCAGAAAATTCAAACTCAAAATGGGTAGAAAGCAAGCAAGGGACCTGCCAAGAGTGTGATATATTTAGTTCTAACAAAAGTACATGTGACTTGGGAAGAAAGGGATAGTTAAGATTATGGACAGTCTCACCCTGAACTGTCTAAAGAAGATGAGTTTTCTTTCTTCTTTTATCCAAATATTTGTGAGGAAAATATCAAAATTATTGAAATGTACATTTCTTCTTTAACTATATTTTTTTATTGATTTCAGATAGAGAGGAAGAGAGAGATGAGAGAGAATCATTGATCGGCTGCCTCCTACACATCCCATACTGGGGATTGAGCCCATAACCCGGCATGTGCCCTGACCAGAATCGAACTGCCCACCCTGGTCCATAGATCGATGCTCTACCACTGAGTCATGCGGGCTGGGCTGCTTTGTTCTTTAGACATTCCCATTCTCACATACACTGTTAGTTCCTTGCATATAGGGATTTTGTCTTCCCTTCAAGTACTTAGAAGCGATAATCCATTTTGGTGACTCATTCTTTAGCATGTTATTATATATAAAGAATTTTTAGAAAAATCTCTATTTTTTAAAAAATGTTCATTTTCTGTAATGGGAACACATGTACCTAATGAAATTAGTGTTTTTTTAAATATATTTTTATTGATTTCAGAGAGGGATAGGGAGATAGAAACATCAATGATGAGAGAGAATCAATGATCAGCTGCCTCCTGCACGCCCCCTACTGGGGACCCAGCCGGCAACCTGGGCATGTGTCCTTGACGGGACTCAAACCTGGGACCCCTCAGTCTGCAGGCCAATGCTCTATCCACTGAGCCAAACCAGCTAGGGCTAGTGGTTTGTTTTTAATCACTATCCGGCATTTATCTAGCTAGTAAATGTTATACCGGGGCCTTGACTTACTAGTGTCCCGACTAACGAGTTTTTTGAGATACCAGCTGTCTCTCAGCCGATTTTTTGCATTGAGTTGATAGAGTAATTTGAGTTAACGAGCTCCTTAATGAGCTCGATCTCGGAACGAATTAAACTCGTAAGTCAAGGCCCCACTGTAATGTGAAATATTCCTTTATTCCCTGCTGACCCAGTTTCTTTCCTTGTCCTTTCATTTCAGTGTCTTAGAATTTATGGGGGAGACTATTGCAGGAAGCAGACAAATTAAGTCAGCAATAATATTTATAGAAATAAAAAAAGAGTAATTTGAATTCCCATTGTGCTACAGTGCACTGTACTTAATTCAAGAAAACACCCATTTGTTGTCCTGAATCTGACATTCTAAAATGGACATAGTATGTTAATACACAAAATAGAAAAGCAGAAAAAAATTGAGGAACAAAGAGAATTCACAATAGGAAAATATATTTATTATTAACTCAGTTTAATATGCAAGCAAAGTTGAATATTATGCTTAGTTGAAAGCCATTTACTATAGTAAATAAATTGCAAGTACTCTTCTTAATTATCTTTCTGATTTGCACAATAGAAAGTTTCATACCTATAAATGCATCTTTGTAGACTTTAATTTAGTCTTAGAAATTTTAGACTAAATTTAGGGGAAATCCCTCAAATTCCATTTCAAGCCATTGCATTGTTTTGTGCGTGTGTGTGTGTGTTTTTAAAAATATATTTTATTGATTTTTTACAGAGAGGAAGGGAGAGAGATAGAGAGTTAGAAACATTGATCAGCTGCCTCCTGCACATCTCCTACTGGGGATGTGCCCGCAACCCAGGTACATGCCCTTAACCGGAATCGAACCTGGGACCCTTCAGTCCGCAGGCCGAAGCTCTATCCACTGAGCCAAACCGGTTCCGGCTGTGTGTGTTTTTAAGATTAGGAAATCAGGATGGGTGTCCAGGGTGGGAACACAAATGTTTCAGGAATAGTCATAATATCATCCAGCTGCTATTGTGGAGCACTGCCCGTGTACCAGCACTCTGTAGATGCCTGACTCTGTAGATGGCTGACTCTGTAGATAATCTTAACGAAAGCACTCAAAGTAGGCAGGGATGAGAACTCTGGGCTCAGAAAAAAAAAGTGATAATTTGCCCAAATTCACACAGCTCTTAAGTGAAGCAGCAGGATAAGTACCGCCCTCCCCTCCATTTTGAAAAATTTCCAGCTCAGTGCTGTTTGGGAAAGATGACCTGGGAAAGATGGTTTAAAGGGGAGGGAAGGCTCAAGGCAGACAGCATGTTGGCAAGGTAAGGACCTCATGCAGGTGGGATAAAGGCCTCTTGCAAGAAAGAGTGTTTGGGGCAAGAGTACAGCAGTCATCAGTTTGTCCTCACCCAGTGTCCCAATTTGGTGCATCTTTAAAAAAATATATATATTGATTTCAGAGAGGAAGGGAGAGGGAAACATCAATGATGAGAGAGAATCATTGATTGGCTGCCTCCTGCACACCCCCTACTGGGAATATGGCCCGAAACCTGGGCATGTACCCTTGACCAGAATTGAACCCAGGACCCTTTAGTCCGCAGGCCGATGCTCTGTCCACTGAGCCAAATCGGCTGGGACAGATGCATCTTAATTTATGATTTTATAAATACTGAACCCAACTGACAAGCATTAGTATGTTGCCATCTACATAGCTTTCTTTTTCTTACAATGCCCATGTTTCAGACTAAATTCCTTGCATGATGTTGGTTAGAAAAATGAAAAACCCTACAGGAGCAGTGTATGCCCTTATTTAGAAGGAAAAGGAGCTAGAATGATTCATCCATAGAATTGACATGGAATCACTAAGTGCTTTCCCTTAACCTTTAGTTTAATTTGGCTTTAACCTTTCATTTTAGGCTTAGTTGTGCCTTCCAGTGGCTAATGACAGAGAGGCTATAATGGATTTGAGTTCAGCTCTTGCAAGTGAATATCTGGCACAGAAAAGCATTTCTTTTTTAAGATTTCAAATGCTTCAGAGAATAACAGTTTTATTTCATTTTTTATTGATTTTAGAGTGAGGAAGAGGAGAGAGGGAGGGAGAGAGAGATACATTGATGTGCAAGAGAAACATGGATCAGTTGCCTTCTGTACGCACTCTAATCGGGTATCGAACCCACAACCTGGGCGTGTGCCCTGACCAGGAATCAAACCCGCCACCTTTTAGTGGACAATGCTCCAACCTACTGAGACACACCGGCCAGGGCAGAAAAGCATTTCTTGATATAAAGGGTGGAAAGAACAAGTTAAAGACCATTCTTGCCCAGCTGGTGTTGCTCAGTGGTTGAGCATCAACCTATGAACCAGGAAGGAGGTCATGATTTGATTCCCAATCAGAGCACATGCCTGGGTTGTGGGCTCAATCCCCTGTGGGGGGCGTGCAGGAGGCAGCTATTGATGATTCTCTCTCATCATTGATATTTCTGTCTCTCCCTTCCTCTCTGAAGTCAATTAAAAATATTTTTTTAAATAACTGTTCTTTTTTTTTTTTTTTTAAATATATTTTATTGATTTTTTACAGAGAGGAAGGGAGAGAGATAGAGAGTTAGAAACATCGATGAGAGAGAAACATCGATCAGCTGCCTCCTGCACATCCCCCACTGGGGATATGCCCGCAACCCAGGTACATGCCCTTCACCGGAATCGAACCTGGGACCCCTCAGTCCGCAGGCCGACGCTCTATCCACTGAGCCAAACCGGTTTCGGCTAAATAACTATTCTTTAATAATAACCAAATGTAATGAAAGTGTATTGTCAGGTTTAGACTTTAGTACCTGAGAGGCATTGATATTACCTGTTTCTGAAATGAGATTGCTGATTCCAAAAAAATCCCAAACAAAACAAAAACTAAACAAAAAATTTCAATATGCCATAATTTTTCCTAACCTCCTTCTCTCCTTTTAATTGTGAAGTTATAATTTACAGGGTAAGATAGAAATGTATGTCTTCAGGAAATTGCAAACATACTTAAGATTTTGTCACTTGGGGATCTTCAGGCAGAAGGATTCTTTTTTCTATAATCAAGTATCATTTAGAAGATGACAGTATGAAATTCCTGTGAGTGTTCTCAGTGGTACAAACCAACTCTCCCACACCTTTTTTCTCTCTCTCTCCTGGAGTAGTTTAGTTGCTTAACTACAGTGATTCAAAAGAGAGGCAGTTTGGTTTATCATTGATATTCTGGTTTCTCCTTTCATAGGCACTGGTCATGTGGGCAGTGGCAGCACTTAGCTATTTAGGCATTCCAGCTGAGCTGTGCCTCTCCCTTAAGGAGCATGTGAAGTGGAGATGAGGGCCCCAGGAGTGATCTCTCTGGGCTACAGGCTGAAGATTCGGGACAGTTAGTTTCCTTTGCAGAGGTGGAGGCCCAGGTGTACAACACAGCAAGAGGCTCTGCAGCCCTGGTTTACTGCAGCTCAGTTCTTTGATCCAGCGTTTCCTTTCTCTCCCCTCCCCTTCCCCAAAGCATTTATGATATGATAGTGTGAGGTCAGTGACATATTAAGGGCTGCAGTGATCAGCATATTTCTTTCTTTCTTTTTTTTTTTGATCCTCACCTGAAGATTTTTTCCATTGATTTTTTTTTTCTTTTTAGAGATCGTGGAGGGGAGGGTGGACGCAGGAGGGGGGGGCCGGGGGGGGAGTGGGGGGAGAGAGAGAGAGAAAGAGAGAGAGGGAAACGTCGATGTGAGAGAGAGACATGGATTGATTACTTCCCACAAGTGCCCCGACCAGGGCCTGGGATCAAGCCTGCCACCAAGGTACATGTCCTTGACTGGGAATCGAACCCAAGACCCTTCGGTTTGTGGTCTGATGCTCTGACCACAGCAAAACCAGCCAGGGCAGCATATTTCTTATTTAAGAGTCTTCCTCTGAATGCATCTGTATGAAAATTATGGAGAGGACAGAATTATGATGCTTTATGTCAACAGAAAGTGGTGTCAGTTCAGAAAAATAAACACGAGGTTGAAAATAGATCACTGGATCCTGCTGTCTTCCTCTGACCTTGAAAAAGATATGTAACTTCTTCACATTGTCTCGTCTCTGGACCTGGTGTAACGGTGTTCCCTAGAGCTGCCCTATGGATGCGATAACCTATGCGAAATGTTCTGAACTCCTTAAGGCATGATGTCAAAGCAATAAAGTGCAATATTGTTATTACCGATCGACATTTTCTTCCTTAATCTTCTCATCTTTTCAGATCCTGGTGGGTTTTTTCCAGTCCCCTCTCTGCTCCTTAGGTTGGAGTGGTAGGGGTTCCATGCTTGGGTGCAGGAAAAATGCCTTCTACCCTCTGAAACTGTGTTCATCAGGAAAGGCTTTGTAGGCACCACCCTTTCGGTAAAGGATGAATGTGACACCCAGTGTGTCGTGCTAGGGGAGCACAGGCTCTGCAGACAGAAGAAGGCCCCTCTCTCTCTGAAGGACGAGGAGAAGCAACCATGAACTGTCTACTCCTTCACAGAACACACAGCCTGGTGCCCAGGCTCCTCTGACCATCCTCCACGAGAAAGAAGAGTGAATCCAAAGAGGCCAGTGTCTCCTACAGACTCGTGAAGTCCAGCCGACTGGGGACCCCCTTGGAGCAGTCCCGCAGTGTGCGCATGGTGGTTCCTTATTCCGTCAGCCATGTCCTTCAGTGCCACCATTCTCTTCTCCCCGCCCAGTGGCAGTGAGGCCAGATGCTGCTGCTGTGCCTGTAAGAGTGAGACTAGTGGGGGCAACACAGGCGCTCAGAGTGGGAATCCTCCTCCCAGCACCCCTATCACAGTGACCGGACACGGCCTGGCGGTTCACAGTTCCGAGCAGCTCCTGCATATTATCTACCAGCGGGTGGATAAGGCAGTGGGTCTGGCTGAGGCTGCTCTGGGTCTTGCCAGGGCCAACAATGAATTGCTAAAACGTCTCCAGGAGGAAGTGGGTGAGTTGAGGCAAGGCCAAGTGTCCGCCCCTGATGAAGACGGGGACAGCCAGGCACATGGTTCCCCACTTGAGGAGCCTGGGTCTCTCAAGGAGAGTCCCGGGGGGGCCTGCAGGACCGTGTCTGCCGTGGAAGAGGAGGGTGACGGCGTGGGCAGCGATGTGCAGGTGGTGATCGAGCAGCAGCTGGGAGCAGCCTTGGCTGTAGGGCCTGGCCCTTTGGGCTTCCCAGCTGCTCAGAGAGATGTGCGGCTCCCGGGATGCACCCTGGCTGCCAGTGAGGGGGCTCCAGTGCTCAATCCCGTGAGTATATTGCTGCCGAGCCGAACACAAGTGTTGTTGCTTCTTAGTGCTTTTCCTGGCCTTTTCCTTTTTTCTCTCTTTCTGTATTTCCCCCTCCTTCAACATGTCTTTTGTTAGTACGTGTGATAAAATAGAAACAGTACCAAGTTTCCTTTGTCTTCAGGGTTAATCTGCACTCCTGTTTCTTCCTGAACCATAGTCTCTGTGGCAGTAGGTCATTTCTGGTGTGTGTGGTGAGGGGGTGCCCTTCCCTCCCGCTCAGTAGCTGTGCGGCACCTTCTCCCCCACAGCTGTCTCAGCTGCTCCATGCTCTGTGCCTCTCCTGGAGAGAATGCCTGCCATGCACAGACGGCTCATTTATATTTTATCACGGGCCCTCTGCTTGCCAAGAGGAATTCAGTACAGAGAGATGGGAATGAGAGGGGAGAGAGGCAGAAGTAGAAAGAGAGGTAGAAGGAAAAAGTGAGGGGGGAAGGACAAAGATAATAGACGATGAGGGAAGGAGGAAGGTGGAAATGAAGGGTTGAGGAAGGAGAGAAAGTGAAAAAAGAACACAGAAAAGAAAGGTGAATCTAAATGGAAAGAGAATTTATGCTGGAAGAGTATGAGGTAAGGTGGGAAGAATGCAGAGGAAGGGAATAAAATGAGGAAAAGCAGCGGGTCACGAAGAGTTAACAGTAAGAGAACAGGTGAGGAGGGAGCACGAGCACGTTGGTGGGTAGGAAAAGACACTGAAGTGCTTCCTGCTATTTCAGTTTCCTTACTGCTCAAGGCCATGCGAGCAGGCAGATCCTGGCTGAGGAAAGTGAAAACTGCGGAATGTCACCCAGGGAAGTATGAGAAGGAGATGGAGCAGCTATAGAGATCATAGAGATGGGAAAATGTCAGATGTGCTGCCACTTGAGAGACCGCGGGAGGTCTGTCAACTCCCCCACCAGGTTCTTCCTCTACCCTTTCCCTTTCCCTTCTCCTTCTCCCCGCCAAGACAAGGCCCAGACAGCCAGTCAAGAGTTGAGGAGGACACATAGGTGGATGGAAGGGATGCTATGCCCAGTCCATCTGTGGACCTGAGAAAGGAATGTATAAACCCCCCCTGTCCCCCCCAGTGCAACCTGCAGCTGGTCACTGCTCCCCAAAGGCCTAGCTCTGTGGGTGGGTGACAGGTACTACTGCTGTCCCCAGGCTGTGCCTGGCCAGGACTGTCTGTTTGGGGCTGCAGGAGGAGGAATTGGGAAGGTGGTAGGAAGCAGGAGGGTACCAGGCCAGGCAATACCCTGAGCTGTGGTTCCTTCAGGCAGGGAAGGCTTCCAAGCCGACAGGATGGAATTACATTTCCCAGCGCAAAAAGCAGCTCACAGGTCTATAAATCTCAGCCTCCTCCCCCACTTCTTTCTGTGTCCCCCACCCCCACTTTCACTGTTTAGTTTTCTTGGCTGCAGAAATCCCCCCTCCTTCTTCCCTCTTTCCCTTCCTCCCTCCTTCCTTTCCCTGCCCTGTATGTCCTTGAATGAGGGCACAGGCAGGCAAGTAGATGTCAAGGCAGTGAGAGTTGGATGTGACCAAGGCAGGGTGAAGGTGAGGGCACAGACTGGCCCCACAAAGGAATAGGAGGGGGGGTATTGGTGCCAGCCTCTCTAGAGATTTCTGACTCTGTATCTCCCTCCTTTGCTCGCATTTTTCCTCCCGTTTTCCTCTCTATTATTATTACCATTTTATTTTCTTGTTCCTTCTCTTGGTTTTCCTTTCTTGTCATCACTTCCTCCCCCAATCCCTTTTAGACAAAACACTTACCTAGCTACAGTTCTATACCCAAGAGCAAGTCATAAGTGACCCCTCACAGATAGAGCACCAGAAACATGCCTTATCCTTGTAATCAGTCCTATGGTAATGATCCAACATGAGAAGCCCTGCACACACAGAAATATTTGCCCAGCACTCTTATTGGAGGCCCACAGAAACAGGCCATTGACCATTAAAGACTGTGCTAGATTCCCCCCCCTGCTTTCCACTCTCTGTTCATTATCCTTGGCCAAAGATTGATGGTTAACAAGGTTCCCCTCAGCCTGGCTGGCTAATAGGCTATTCTTTTTTATGTTCTTAGCTGGTGGATGATTATGTGGCCTCTGAGGGTGCAGTACAGCGGGTGCTGGTCTCTGCTTATGCCAAGCAGCTCTCACCAGCCACACAACTGGCTATCCAGCGGGCAACTTCAGAGACAGGGCCAGAAAATGGAGTCAAGCTGCCACTGCCTCGCCCTGAGGACATGCTCAGTGCTGCTGCTGCGCTGGAAGGTGCCTTGGAAGAGGCAGGCCCAGGGGGAGCTGGGGAGCTGACACACTCTCTAGGGTTTACTGCTTCCCCCTGCAGGACCAGAGGGAGTGGGCAGAAGAACTCCAGGCGCAAGCGGGATCTGGTTCTCTCTGTGAGTGAGCTCCATTTCTATGAACTTTTCTTCAGATGGAAAGATAAATGAAGAGTAAAGTGTGGGTTGATTTTAAACTTCCCATAGTGAATGCGTGGTGTCCTGAATCTTACTGGAGTGGGAGGGGCAAGAAGGAGATTGTTCCAGAGCTCTAGGGTTAGGCAGTCCCCCACCTATCAATGGAACTTAAAAAAATTTATTTTTTTTTATTGATTTCAGAGAGGAAGGAGAGGGAAGGAGAGAGAGAGACATCAGTGATGAGAGAGGATCATTGATTGGCTGCCTCCTGCACGTAACCCGTGTCCTGACTGGAATCGAACAATGACCTCCTGGTTAATGGGTCAACACTCAACCATTGAGCCACACCAGCTGGGCTCAATGGAACTTTTTTAAGGCTTTTCCAGATAAATTGATATCTTCCATTTAAAAGTGGGGGCATCCTGGCCAGTGTTGCTCAGTGGTTGAGCCTCAACTATGAAATAGGAGATCACAGTTTGACTCCCGGTCAGGGCACATTCTCGGGTTGTGGGATCAATCCCCAGTGTGGGACAGGCAGGAGGCAGCCGATCAATGATTCTCTCTCATTATTGCTGTTTCTGTCTCTCTCTCATTCTCCCTTCCTCTCTGAAATCAATAAAAACATATTTTTTTAAAAAATAAAAGAAATAAAAAGGGGGGCATTATATCACATCTCCCAGGGATCTAATAATCCTAATGGGAAGATCTTTAAGGAATGGAGCACTTTGACCACTGAAGGGTGGCACTGGAAACTGCCTGAAAATGACCAGTGTTCAGGGTAAGCAGCAAGGGGCCCTTTGGGCAGAAAGGTCAGAGTGTCCTGAGGTGGTCCCAAACCCCGAAGAGGCAGAGGCCCATTAGGCACTAAGCTCAGTTGTAAAAGTTTGGGGAGTTTAGTGAGTCTGAGAGCTCTTGGCAGAAAAAGTACTGACCTGATCCAGTTCTGTCTAAAGCCGTGGTATGGCTTAAAGCCTTAGGAACATGGTTCAGCATCCTACAGTGCACAGCTATCGGGCCTAAAATGTCAATAGGGCCAAGGTTGAGAAACCTGTTCTAGGGTGACCATAGTCCTTTGGATCTGTGTCCAAAAACATCTTTCTGATAACCATGGGGGTGTTCTTTAGCCATATAATGTTCATATTGACTATAATGGGTTCCATGCCCTGGATAATGGCTAATGAAGTAACTTGAGAGTTCTGGTTAGGAGTGGAGATCACCACTCACATCCAACCAAAATCTTATCACAATGTATAGTATTGCCCATGTCTTCTTGTTAGTCTTAGCAAAGATTGAAAACAATTAACACCTCCTTTATTTACATTACCTCTTTCTTCCTTTTCCTTTTCCTAAGAGATCCTACCTTATTCTCCCTTTCATTTGATTTGTTTTTACATTGAGGGATCTTCCTTAGGAAGGAAGACACCATAATCAGTTTTAACTGGTTTCTAACCTTCATTTCAAATCTTGGTTATGTTTGGGGATATCTGCTCACTTATCAAGAATAGGGAATGAGTATAATTTCTTTGTCATGGATTTCTGACCCAAGAGGTCCACTTTTGCTGCCAGGGATAGAAATGGAGGCATTTCAAGGGATTTCCCCAAACTTCATAGTGTTTATAAGTTATGAGTAAATGTATGATAATTCTAATTTGCATAAAATGAGGATTTTTTTTTTTCCTGTCACTTCCATTACTCTCCTGCCTCCAGTTAGAGGTTCAGTGTCGAGGCCTGGCTTCTCCCTGTCCTTTGGAGAGCCTGGTGGAACAGCAGACCTTCTGGGGTGCAGTATGCTCACTCATTACAGTACTTGCAAAGTACTGATATAGAGGACCAGTCAGGGAAGTTTGCTGCCCATCCCAGAAGACGATTTAAAATGTCCTTGTGCCAGACTGGATTTACAGGGAGAGAGATAGTTGCAGATCTTCACTATTCTGTGGATTGCTTCTAGGGATCCAAAAGAACCAAAACAGAACTCTTAATTCCTTGGAATGTTGTACATCCCAGCCACCCCTGTGGAAAGCCATTTATTTTTTAGCCAGCAGCCTTTACATAAGTTTTAATACTATTGTCTAGAATATTTTCCCTTTCCACTTCAAGCCTGGTTTTTTATCAGCTCACATCTTCCAAGCCCCCACTTCCAATTCCACTTGAATTGGAAACTAGGTAACTTTTTTTTTCTTTCTTCTTTTGCAATTCTTTCAATTTCTTTATGAAGCATTCTCACATCTCCCTGTGATTCCTTAAGTTTGGACTTCTAAGAGGTAAAATAACTCTATCAAATATGAAGCTAGTATAATAGTCTTTTTTCATAGAGTGGAGATCATAGCCACAAAGAATTAACAGTAATTTCCTAACTTGATATGGTCAATCAGCCATAGAGGTAGAAGGGTAAATTGGGCATTTCTGAATATGAAATTGAAGTTTTGAGGTCAGGATATGAGTCCATCAACTCAGAACTGGGTAACATCCATTAACTGTGAGAGCTTCGGATGAAAATATAATCAGAAAAACAGAACTAAATTTAATAGGAAGAAATTTAAAATCCTACATTAAAATTTTTAAAAAATCTGCAGAATGGTAGAGATAATTAACCCATGTGAAAAATGAACTTGACTACAGGTTCACTGTGAAAGAACGCTATGACACTGTGAGTAGGGATGGGGTTGCTAAGAAAAGTAACACCATCTTGGGTTTCATTCCTAGAAGGGTAGAGTTCCACTCGGGGAAGTAATGCTCCCTGTGGCCAGACCTCAACTGATGAGTTAGATTTGGTTCCAAGTGCCACGTTGTAAGAGAGACACTAGCAAACCAAAGATCCTCATAGCTTCATGACAAGTCTATCTGGGAACTCTGTCCGAGGAATGGCTGAAGGATGTGGGGTACTAAGACTGGGTAAGAGGAGACTCCGGGAGTTCACGAAAGCTGTCTTCAAATATTTCAGGTGCTATTATGGTCAAAATGGGTCAGATTTTGGAGCATCTAAGGCAGAATTTTTTAATAGAAATGTTCAACAGTAGAATAAGCCAATTCAAAAACTAGTGAGGACCTGTCATTAAAGGTGTATAAGCAAAGCTGAAAGACAGCCTGTTTAATGATGTGAAAGGGACCTTTCCACTTCACATTTCTATTATTCTAGGTTTGTGTTTTTCAGACCATGGTGTGGGTACCCCTGAAATTTGTGGTAATGTACAAAGGTTTATACCTGGAACATTTTCCTGGATCATCAATTTTACTAGAAAAATTTGGAAGGTATTTTTTAAAGTATATTTTTATTGAGAGGAAGAGAGGGAGAGAGAGAAACATCCATGATGAGAGAGATTCATTGATCAGCTGCTTCCTGCACCCCACCCCCCAGCCCCACCCCCACTTTACTGGGGACTGAGTCCACAACCAGGCATGTGCCTTGACTGGGAATCGAACCGTGACCTCTTGGTTCATAGGTTGATGCTCAACCACTGAGCTACACCAACCAGACAGATATTTTTATATTAAAAGAAATACAGATATATTGTGAAGAAATTTTTAAAAATTGCAAGAGTAACTGGCTTCAAGAAATTTCCCCTAATATAGCCCTGATGTGTATCTGTTCTCTCCTTGCTATTGGGAGTATGTTTGTGGATATGTCTGAGACCCTCTGCTCTAGTGATCATATTCCTTAGGAGCAGAAGCAAGGCCAGGGATGATCTTGGAGTCTTCACACACATTAATTGAAGGGGGGGGGCATTAGAAATACTAACTTTGTATAAGTACCGCGCGCTAACCGATTGCGCCACTGGAGCTCCTGAAATACTAACTTTGATAGGTTCTCTGGCTAAGAAAGGACATTGACAGAAAGGATTCAGAAAGGTAGACAGAAAGGTAGGGAACTGTATGGGGACAATGCATAGGAACCAGAGGAGGGCTTCATCATATCCACCCCTGGTTTGATTCTGTGTTTGTTTATTTGTTTGTTTCCCCTAGAAATTGGTCCACAATGTGCATAACCACATCACCAATGACAAGAGATTCAATGGGTCTGAAAGGTATGATCCACCTGAGGGAAAAGTCACAGCATACTTAGCCAAGGAAGGGAAGCTGAGGGGGCTGCTCTGGTAGAACAATGAGGCTAAGGCTTTGGATACACAATTGCCTCTTATATCCTGTTTTCGGCCATGGAGGAATTGATCACAAAGTTGATTAGTGCTGGGAATCTCTATTTGTCTAGTTTCAAAAATGCTGATTGCTTTATTCACTCTCTTCTTTTTGTGGCAGCATCAAATCCTCTTGGAATATTTCAGTAGTGAAGTTCCTTCTGGAAAAGCTCAAGCAGGAGCTGGTGACCAGCCCCCACAATTACACTGATAAGGAGCTGAAAGGTGGGAAAAACCAAGTGAACTCCCATTTCATCCTCCCTCCCTGTTCCTGGGCAAAGGGGAAGAGGCATAGTAGAGATGATTTAGGTGATTTGAAAATAGTGGGTTTAAAAAAAATTATTTTTGGTTCCTTCTCATCTACAATATTCACAGGATTGCCTCTTAACAGCCTTTTTATTCCCCTACTCTGTCTGAAATGAAAATGGGAGAAGGGAAGGGCTAGAACACCATTGTGCAGGATATTTATATAGGCCTGAATCTACAGTGTTATGAAAAGGAGTTTAGAATCCAGGCCAGTCCTTTTGTCCCTGAGTTTAATGTCCTGGGCTTTCTATTTTCCTTGCTCTTCTGTTATTTGTCTGTAGCTAACCCTGAAGAATTGAGAACACTTCTGCTGAAGAAAGCCAATGTCATAATTCAGTAGAGTTGGGAACCTGACACCTGTCTGAGTCAGGAGGACTCCTCAGAGTTCTCACTGGCAGTGCTAACCAGAAAACAGACAGACCAAGAGATGAGAAGCAACTTGCGTAAAGCTAACCGGCAAATCAGCCGCAGAACCGGGATGAGCCTAGTGGCTCTGTCCGCCCCAGTCCAGGGCATCGCACATCACATGTAGCTGTCAGACCCAGTCCTGAGCAGGGACCTGACACCTACTCTGGTCTGCTTGGCCCCACCCAGGGGAATGCTATGGCCTCGGACACCAGGGCAGCAGTCGGCCGGCTCCTGGGCTCGAGCCCCGCTCACTCCCCAACCCCCCTCCCCCACAGCCCCTGCCTGCAGCCTCTAACCATCAGTGGGACCCTTACACTCAGGCACGTGGCCTGTGGTCTGTTAATGACCATGGAGGGTGGGACTGACCCCAGCTTCCAGGGACTGTCACTGTACATGCCAAAATGGCATAACTGAGATAAGGTGGATAAGTGACAAATAAAGCCACCTTTTTACAAAAAAAGAAAGCACTGAACCCAGGCCAGTTTGGCTCAGTGGCTAGAGCGTCGGCCTGCAGACCAGAGATCCTGGGTTTGATCCTAGTCGGGGGCACATACCCTGGTTGTGGCTCTTCTCTCACATCGATGTTTCTCTCTGTCTTTCCCTCTCTCTTCCACTCTCCCTAAAAATCAATGGAAAAAAATATCCTTGGGCAAGGAAAAAAAATTTTTTTAAAGAAAGCACTTGTAATCCACTATCAGCAGAGTAGAATAGGGGTTAGTTTAATTGGAGAAGGGGGAAAGGAGTTACAAAAACATTGGAGTTTTCTTTTTCCAGTACTTAACTCTTCAGAGGAGTTAGTGTTAGAGAATGATGTAGGCAGGGAGAGCTAAACCTAAGAGGAGGTTTTGAAAATAGTGGTGCCCTTCTGTCATGTGAGGACATAGTGAGAAGACAAAAAAAACTTATGAACCAGGAAGTGGGCTCTTGCCAGACATGAAATCTGCCAGTACCATGACCTTGAACTTCCCAGCCTCCAGGATGATGCAGGAACAGAGCTTGTGTCACAATATGAATGTGTACGATGGGGAACAACACTGGAAATACATGAGTAGTTGAGGACAAGCAAGGTTTGAAATGCATGGAGACAGAAGCTAGTCTCTGGAAATTATTCCAAATATTCAATGTATAAAATTATAGGTGGGTGATTTAGTTTTCATTAATACCGAGTCAAAATTATGAATAACTAAGTAATTTTCATAAATTATACTAGAGAAAATATAAAAAATAGTGGATTTTTTAAAAATTTGTTTACTATTAATTAATTTAATAGTGATACCCTCCCATCCAGTAGTGTTAGGGCAGGACAAAGGGCTGAGAACCACTGCTCTTTGCTACCTCCCTTCTCTCTCCCTGCCAGGAGCCTGTGTAGCCTACTTCCTTACTAAGAGGCGTGAGTACCGCAACTCCCTGAACCCCTTTAAAGGACTGAAGGAAAAAGAGGAGAAGAAACTTCGAAGTCGCAGATACCGGGTAGGTTTCTAGGCCTTCCTTTCAAGATGCTAAACTCTAAACCCTAATAAGCACCAGTGGGAAGGGCCAGAGGTCATGGCATCCAAGAAGAGAGTTTAGAGTGAATAATGTAGGCAGATAGAGGAGGAGGAGGGTGAGCCAGTTCTAAGATTTGACTTGGGGGCTTGGGTTCTCTCAGGCACAGATTTTACACAGACTTCCTCCCACACAACCCTCTCCCCAAACCTAATCCATAGTTTTTTTCTCTTCCTAATCTTTGTCCTGGGCTCCTACGATAGCTTTTTGCCAACCGATCCAGTATCATGAGGCATTTTGGCCCAGAGGAACAACGCCTGTGGAAGGATGTGACAGAAGAGCTGATGTCAGATGAAGAGGACAGTCTTAATGAGCCAGGTGTCTGGGTAGCCAGGCCTCCCCGTTTCCGGGCCCAGCGCCTCACCGAGCTCTGCTACCATCTGGATGCCAACTCTAAGCATGGCACTAAAGCCAACCGTATATATGGGCCTCCCTCAGACCGGTTACCCTCTGCTGAGGCCCAGCTCCTTCCACCAGAACTTTATAACCCTCATTTCCAAGAAGAGGAAGACGAGGGAGGTGATGAAAATGGACCTGTCTCCCTATCTTTTGACCAGTCCCATAAAACCTGCTGTCCTGACTTGAATTCATTTATTGAAGTCAAGGTGGAAAAGGATGAGTGAAATCTATAACCAAGAGTATCTCTGGCTTCTGCCGCTTCCCATGTCCCAGAGCCAGGCCTATTGGGCTTCCCAGAAGAATGAGATGTCCTCTGCAGTCTGAGAAAGCAAGTCTGCCTCTGTTCTTAACACGGTCCCCACTGGAAATGAAAGCTGGCAGCTCCAGTGGGATCAAAGGACTTCTCTGAAAGGGGGAAAGTCCCCCCATTGTGAATGGCAAGCCAGAAAGTGCTTGTTCCTAAGCATAAACAATGCCTCAGAAGAGCCGAGGAGGAGAGCAGGAGGAGGATGGGTCTAAGAAACACGAGGCCTTCTCAACATATGCCCGGGTCTCTGAGTTTTTTGTTTTGTTTTGTTACATTTCGGGTTTCACTCAAAGCTCTGGGGAAGCAGCTCTGGTTGCACCTTCTGCTTCCCCAGGACCGCGGGTCTTGCTCTGCAGTGGAAGCCGCACGGAACCAGCCCAGGGTAATACTGCCACCTGGTGGGCAGTGTCAGTCTTTGATTCTTCTGAGAAGAACTGGGGCTCCATCCCTTTTTGGAAATTAGGATTTAGATGTAATAGCTTTATTGAATTACATAAAGCAGATTTTATCATTCTCATCTTACACATGAGGAAATTAAGGCTAAAAGAGTTCCCATGTATCACTGGCACCCGCTCTACCACCGTGTGCATATATAGGGCTCTGTAGCTATTTCTTAATCTTGCCAGCCCAACTGTATTTTGAGGAAGGTGTGTGCGCGTGTGTGTGTGTCCGTATGCACACACCAGCACACAAAATGTATGCATTTTGAATAGATGGAGAAGTAAAAATGGCTTTCTAGTCAGTCATCCATATAACAAACATTGATTGCTTACTAGGTGTCACATACTGTGCTATAGACACAATGTTGATCAAAGTAGATGCTGATCTAAGGTTTTATTATCTAGTCAGAAAACCAGGCAGTTAAGTAGGCAGTGGATAAATAAATAGTGCTAAGAGTGATGAGGGATTGTAGGGTGCACTGGCAGGATACAGCAGGGGTAGCTAACCTATGCTGGTGGTCTGGAAAGGCTTCTCAGAGTGGTGTTTAAACTGATACCTGAAAGATGGGGGAAGGGAGGCCAGGAGAGTGTCCCAAACATAAGGAGCAACGGGTACTAGAGAGCACAGACAAGATACACCTCTACAGAACATTTTGGGGAGGGGAGGATGCTGAGGAGAAGAGGCTGGAGAGGTAGAAAAACCTTGTAAAATATCTTAAAGAGTTCAGACTTCAGTTCAAGGGCAATGATCAGTCATTGTAAGGTTTTAAGGAGGGAAATAAGTTGATCAGTTCTGTGTTTTACCCTAGTTCCCCCGCCCCCTCCAGCTCTGTGTTTTAGAAGAATCACTTGACCTTAGGTTATGAGATGGCTTGGAAGGGGAAAGCCTTGGCAGTGAGACTCTTGCAGTGGTTCTGGGGAGAAAAGATGGTGGCCCGAGAGACACAGGGGTGATGAAGGGAGGGCAGATTTGAAAGATATTTAGGAAGCAGAATTTATCGGACTTGGTGCTAGGACTTAGTTGATTTGAGATTAAGGGAGGAGGACATAAGATTGATGTTTAGGTTTCTGGCTTAAGCAGCTTAAATGGTTAAGGATGCCATTTACTCAGGGAATGCTGGAGGAGCCCGTTTCAGGAGGCAGGGAAGGTGGGGTCAGTTTAGAGCGGGAGTGGGCAAACTTTTTGACTCGAGGGCCACAATGGGTTCTTAAACTGGACCCGAGGGCCGGAACAAAAGCATGGATGGAGTGTTTGTGTGAACTAATATAAATTCAAAGTAAACATCATTACATAAAAGGGTACGGTCTTTTTTTTCAATAGTTTTATTCATTTCAAACGGGCAGGATCCGGCCCAAGGGCCGTAGTTTGCCCACGGCTGGTTTAGAGTGTTGTATGCCTTTGAGATAACCAAGTAGATACTTGAACTCAGATTTTTTTAAATCCAAGAAAGTCTGGGCTAGAGATACGGCTTTGGCAGTCATTTGTGTATATATAGACCTTAATTAAAGTCTTTGGGGTGGAAAATAGGGCCTGTGGAGCTCCTGACTCCAGTTTAAACTAATGACTGGTTACCCTGAGGTTGTGAGCCCTATGGGAGCATGCCATCTCAGTGTACCTCTCGCCCCCTTCCTATGATCCCCTGAAAATGCAGGTCGTTGATTCCAACTGTGCTCACTGCTGCCACCACCAACTCCTGGGTGGGCCTCCTTTAATGGCTTTTCAACCTTCCATAAGATTTACTCTCTCATCATCACCCCAAAGGAGCAAAGCTTCCAAATATTAGAGGCTGTTCGGGTTTTCTGGGTATAAATAACTGGGAGGAAGAATTCAGGTTCTCCTTCCCCATTTGGAGACAGGAAAGGAGGGAGCAACCTATGGTTAATTCTGAAGATGTCGCTCACAGCAAGTTCTGGATGCAATCTGATAGCTCCCCTCTATTACTAATGCTTTCAGTCCTCCTTGCTTCCAGTCTGATAGTAAACTCTCTTCTGGATCAGAGAAAAGCTGTAAGCCTGACCAGGCAAACAGAGAAGCTGATTCTCAGGAGAGATGAGGTCAGGGAAACAATGCAGCTAGGACGAAGAAGCCAAATAGTTTGTACCAAATTAATTTCCCCAAAGATATTAACCCCCTTTTCTTTCCCATTCCCTAAGGCTACACTAAGATTATAAAAGGTGTTCAAAATGTTGAGACAAAAATAATATGCATGATTTGTTTGCATGATTTGTTTTCTATCTAAATACAAAGGAGTCATTTTCCTTCTCCATTCTACTTCCTCCATCCCTTGCCCCTGATGTGTTAGTCTGGGCGAAATCAGTTGGTGGGTATTTAACTGGATATGTTTAGCTTCAACCATGGTTTCTTCTTTTCCTTATTCTTGATCCTTCTAGTATGGCCAATATCAGCCTCTTTTTCTTTTCCACCCTTATCATTTCACTTGCTAACTCCTTTAAATGACATTACTTTTCTTCCTCTTAATACCTACTCTTTATCGCCAATCTCCTGTGGGCCAACCAAAGTGTGTGTGTGGGGGGGGGGGAGGGGGGGTGGCATTCGCTAGCCCTAAAACCAGACCTATCCCATAGTCACCTGAAATATTTGCTAAAAAATTTCATTTCCCAACACCAGGGGGGGTCTGTCTATCTGTCCTAATCTGAAGTTAGAGATTAGTTCCGAACCTTTTCCTCCTTTTACATAGACACTAAAGTTCCTTCCCTTCTTAAACAGAGCTTTGGGTTCAGGAAGTGGTGTCTTGTTATTACAGTTTACCTCTCATTCTCTCTGGACTTGCACAAATTTGTCTTTTTCTTAGTCTATTCATCCTTCGGTCTCTGCACCACCCTCAATCTCCTTTGCTCCCTTTCCTTTCGCTACCTGTCTTCCACCACCTCTCTCCACGGGCTTCCTCACCTTTCTGGACACTACGCCGGCGTCTCTGAAACTCTTTATGTACCTACCTTTCTTCTTTTTCCCTGTCTTCCTCTTTACGGATCCCTCCCTGCCTCAATCAGTCTCTCTTCATCTCTCCCAGTCCCCACACTAGGAACAAAGTGGTGTTTGCACAGAGCATGCCTCGCGTCGCCCGGTTCTAGACCAGGACATTCCACCGTGCCCCTCCGCGCATTCCAACTGCAGACAAAGAGTCCCACCCCAACTTTTCCCTGTCCCAGTCATCGAGTGATGCAGGAGCAACTGCCCGAACTTGCCCTCCTCTCCTCTCCTGGCGGCGAATCTCCACCTCCAGGACAGTTAAGACCCGCTCCCACCGCCCCATTCCGCGCAGCAGAGATCCCTGCGCAGACACCCCCGTTTCTCCTTCGCTCGGGGCTCCGCCCCTCCCGGAAAGTAGATCCGGCCAGGCAGACAAAAGTTTGGGAGAGAAGTTCCGTCCGTGCTGAGTGTGAGAGCGAGGGGGCGGGGGCCGGGAGCAGCGGGGCGGCCGGGCAAGTCGACGCGTGGACAGATAGACCTGCGGACGGGACAGCCGTAGGCCCTCGGAGCCCTGCTCAGCCCCTGATGCGCGGGGGTCCGCAGCCCCTCTTGCCGGGGAATGCTGGGGGATTCCTGGCGCCGGGCATCTGGGCCGCCCGCTAAACCCTTGTGCCTACCCCGTGCCCCCGGGGAACCGGAGCCCGGCCGCAGGCAAAGAGAAGCGGGGGCCGAGACGCTGCTGGGTGCGGGGCGGGGAGGGGGCTGGAGGCCCCAGGCCCGAGGGCATGGAGCGGTTGGGAGAGAAAGCCAGCCGCCTGTTTGAGAAGTTAAGACTCTCGGACTCCGGCAGCGCTAAGTTCGGCCGCAGAAAGGGTGAATCTAGCCGGTCTGATGGGACCCCCGGGCCGGCCAAAGGGCGCCTGAGTGGGTCGGGGGGACCGAGGAAATCAGGGCCCCGTGGAGCTACCGGGGGGCCTGGGGATGAGCCGCTGGAACCAGCCCGGGAGCAAGGACCCCTGGACGCTGAGCGCAACCCGCGCGGCTCCTTTGAGGCGCAGCGCTACGAGGGCTCCTTTTCCGGGGGGCCGGCTCCCACCCGGGCCTTGCCTCTACCTCAGTCACTGCCCCCAGACTTTCGGTTGGAGACCACGGCCCCAGCCCTCAGCCCCCGCTCCAGTTTCGCCAGTAGCTCCGCCAGCGACGCGAGCAAGCCGTCCAGCCCCCGGGGCAGCCTGCTGCTGGACGGGGCCGGGGCCGGCGGGGCCGGAGGGAGCCGACCCTGCAGCAATCGCACCAGCGGCATCAGCATGGGCTACGACCAGCGCCACGGCAGCCCCCTGCCCGTCGGGCCGTGCCTGTTCGGCCCGCCTCTGGCTGGGGCTCCGGCGGGCTACTCGCCCGGAGGGGCGCCGTCCGCTTATCCCGAGCTCCACGCCGCCCTAGACCGACTTTGCGCTCACCGGCCCCCGGGGTTCGGCTGCCAGGAAAGCCGCCACTCGTACCCCCCGGCCCTGGGCAGCCCTGGGTCTCTAGCCGGGTCTGGAGTGGGAGCGGCGGGGCCCCTGGAGAGACGAGGGGCGCAACCCGGACGACATTCGGTGACCGGCTACGGGGACTGCGCGGCGGCCGCCCGGTACCAGGAGGAGCTCACGGCGTTGCTGCGCTTGACGGCGGGCACAGGTGGACGCGAGATCGGTGCCCGCGGGGAGCCCTCGGGGATGGAGCCGTCTGGTCTCGAGGAGCCACCGGGTCCGTTCGTCCCGGAGGCCGCCCGGCCCCGACTGCGGGACCCCGAGGCCAGAGAGGACTACTTCGGTGAGTGAGAGGAGCGGTGAGGGGCAGGCAGGGACCCCGCGCTGCCTGCGCCTCACCGGCCCGACGGCCCCCATTGCCGGCCCGGGTGGTCGGAGGCGGAGACGCGGGGCTGGCAAAGAGGCCGGAGGGACTTCCCCTTCCTAATGGGTTTCAAACGGACGGGGACACCTATCCTGCTGAATTCTAAGCCCCTGACTCCCTCGTTCCCCGGGCTTTAGAATCTCGGTTTTTTCCGCGGTAGCAGGCCTCTCCGGGAGTGGACCCGGGGACAGTGAGAGCATCCCCCCTCACCCCCGCCCCCCCGGGTGGCGGTGCCCCTGCAGGCTTCTGCGCGCTGAGCCCCCACGCGGGCCCAGGCTCCGCCCGCAGGAATTTGGGGAATTCGCGGGGGGAGGACGGGGCGGGCGGGCCGCGTGCGTGCCGGCTCCTGTCCCCGAGTTCCAGGTGCCCGCGGGCGGGGCTGGCCGCGCCGCGCAGGGCGGAGGCGTGGGGTGAGGAGGTGGGGGGCGGGGGACGGCTTCCGAACACGCGCGGAGCCGGCCTGGGAGGGAGGATGAAGCGCCCTGGGTCGGAAAGCAGGGACCCTACTGCTGCCCGCCCCAGTCCTGCCGGCTCGGTGCGCGCCCGGGCATTTAAACAGAGACCTGGTGGTGTCCGCTTCTGTTTTCCCATCCGGAAGTCAGGGCAGAAGGCATGACCGCCGGTCACCCTCGCCCCGATGGGTATTCCTGTGGAACTGCCAGGATCACCTGGCCTTCAGTTTGGCCCTAACCTGCTCAGAATTCAGCTAAAAGTAGCCTCCTATTTTTCTGTTGCTGTTAAGGAAGCCTGGTCGCCGTCTCCCCCTGCCCCCACGTGGTTATCTTTAAGAAGTATTGATTTTATGTCTCAGCTATGAGGGGATATGGGGGTCTTGAAATACCTTTTAGCCAAACCTACAGGCACCACTTCACTATATCAATACTAATCTGACTGTGAGAGGAAGGACAGGACGAAGTAGAGGGCTCACCCCCAGGGCTATGGGCCTCTTCCGTTTTCCAAGCATCTCCTACCTTTCTCACCACCCATGTCCTGCTCTAGAACTCTATGGCTAGAAGTGTGAATAGGGAGGGAACCCCAGCCAGGGAGGATGCGTTGCAGAGGAGGTACAGAGGTGGTAGGGCTGCAGACTGGAAGAGGCCTGCCTGGTCCAACTCAATCGCCCCCATCCTTTTCCCTCTGCCCTTTGAGGAAAGCCCATAGCAGAAGCTTTGGTCAAGGGAGACTAAGTAACAGGATGCTTCTTGCAATTTTCTTTTGAGGCCCAGGAGAAATGGGTGTTGGATGGAAAGAGGTCTCGTTGGCCAAACCATCAGAGCCAAAAGGAAAAATGAATTCAGATAAAGTGCAATAAAATGACAAGAAGAAACTAGGTTTGGATATCTGGGTTAGAGGAGGTGAGGCGGACATGCCTGAGCAGTTTGCTCTTATCTTCCCGTAATGTCCCAAAGACATGGCTTTGGCCGGGCCTCCTGGCATGGCGATCTTGGGGCAGATCCTCACTCCGATGGGGTGGGGAGGCCACATTTTGACCCCAGAGGGAGGGGCCTCTTCTCCCTGTGGGTCAGGTAGGCTCCTCTGCAAGAACCCCCAGCCTAACCATACCTTCCTGCTCCTGTCCTTAATAGGGGCCCTCTTCCTTGGCTACAGCTTTGCCCAGCTGCCAGAGGGTGGGAGCAGGACAGGCCTGGGCCCATCAGTTGCTGCAGCTGCTGCACGGGCTCCCAAGCCTCTGGGCAAAGACTGGGATGGGCCCCAACAGGCAAGGAGTGTGGCAGAGTGCCGAGGGGGAGAGGTGGGGCGGGGTGAGGCAGGCCCGTTGGGATCTGCTCCCCAAAGACAGGCCCTCAGCTTCACTCATGGGCCTGGAATTGGGGAGTGGAGGGAGGAAAGAACACACCCAGGAAAGGCGGGTGCCAGGGCCAGGTGTATGCGTTTGTGGGGGGGTGGCGGGGAGTAGTTCAGCTCTGGCCCTCCCATGAAGGAAGATGACTGAGAGACCTTAGGGGTTCACCCATCCCCCTCTTCCTGTGCAGCCCTCCTGGGAACACACCCTGCATTCTCAGCAGCCGCCTCCCCCAGGAGTCATGCTCACAAGGTCCCCCCTGCACAGGTCCACTGCTGAGCCAGTTCCTTCTTTTTCCATCCTTGGAAGCCTGGAGGTATGGAGCAGGGAGAAGTCCTTCCGTAGCAAAACACCAGCTCATTTTACAGACGGAGAAACAGGTCCCAGAGAGGCTTTCTAGGCCCAGCCTTCTTTCCCTAGGGAGTGTTTTTGAGTCTACCACTGGGCACTGGCATCTCTATTTGTCCCCCACAGTGTAACACAGATCATACTTTGCCTGTTTAGTCTTTTCTCCCCAGTAGAAAGTAAGCATTTGAAGGCCAGGGACTATATCTTTGACATGCCTCCAGTTTTCCACAGTATTGAGCACAATATTTTTGTTAGGCACAAAATAGATGTTCAGAAAATAAATATCTGTTGATTAATCAATAAATAAGAATGGGTCCACTCAGCCAAGACCTTGCTTCATTCCATTTCTTATTATCTTCTTTTCCCAGAAGGGAGCCCATCAAAGGGAGGCTCTGACTTGTGGTACTTGGCACAATCAGGAAAGACCGGGAATCCCAGGTTTTGAGCAGGGGGAGTAGGATGTGATGCTGACAACATCTCTCCCCTCAGGCACCTGTATCAAGTGCAACAAAGGCATCTATGGGCAAAGCAACGCCTGCCAGGCCCTGGACAGCCTCTACCACACCCAGTGCTTTGTCTGCTGCTCCTGTGGTGAGTGCTGCCCCCAGATCTGGACGGGGGCCCGAGGCTCAAGCACTCCCCACACACATACACAGTCACAAGTGCCTAGGGAAGCAGGAGCAGAACTTGTGCCTCTTCATTTGCTCACAGAGCAGCTGTCCCCACCATGTGTCTGGACCTCCATTGCTACCCCACCTTCTCTCTTGCTTCCCTTCTCTGTGCCCTACCTGGCTCTCTCACTCCCATGCTGGGTCTGCTTTCTGGAGTCATCTTCCCTCTGCTCAGCCTCTCTCTTCCTTCCTTGTCTGCCTCCCTGCTTGCCCAGCCTGGACTCCTGCCTGACCCTCCAGCCTCTCCTCCCTAGGGTTTGGTCTTGGGCAGCCAAGTTGCCTAGGGCGACAGTGAAAGACTGGAATGTAGGAAAGGCGGGGGTGGGCTGAGGGAGTGGGGAACTGTCGGGGGCAGAGAGGGGGGTTTTCTCTTGGCTGGTCAGAGTTCAGCCACCTCGCCAGAGTGCAGGCCACCGGGCCATGCCAAGCTGATGACATCATGCTCCAGGAATGCCTGCTGTTAGCTCAGGAGGCCCAAGGCAAGGGGGAGGGGACCTGCTCCCAGTGGCCTTAACTCCCCAGCCCTTCCCTCACGTCCCTCATTACCTCCTCCCCACTGCTTACCCACTCTGATTCCTTTGCTAACCCTTAATCTCCCATCTCTGCCTGTCTGACTCCAGCACTCAGTTTTTCTCTCACTCCTCCACCCCCAGCCTCTGCCTGGTTCTCCTTAGGTTCCTCTGTCTCTCTGTTCTTCTGTTTATGGGACCCCTTCTGGGTATGTCTCTTTTCCTCTCTACTCCCCTGTGTCTCATGAGTTTCCACGTCAGCTTTTCTAAGCCTCTGGGCAGAGCTAGAAGTGGAGATTTGGTGAGAAGAGGGCAAAGGTGGGAAAATTGCTCATTCTCCGCCATGGTCTCACTTCTCCCCCATTCCTGACCATTTAGATGCCTTGGAGGAGTTCCTAGGTGTTAGTTACATGGGGAATGGTCCTGCCTTGTCTGCTCATAGGGCATCCTGAGCTGCCTCTGACCCGGGAGACTGGGTTCCTGTAAGCTTGGTGTAGAGCCTAGCGCAGCAGGAAAGAGGACCAACTTTGCTCCCAAACAAAGCACTTTGTCCTCAGCAGTAACTCCGCTAAGTCCTGGCCTGCTGGCCTCCGTAGAGCCTGTCCTGGAGGGAGACAAACAAGGCTAGGAGAACAGGAGAGCTATGCTCCACAAGGAGGCTCCTGGGTTGAAAGGTCCCAGAGGGCCAGGCCTGTGACAATGTGATCAACTCCATGCACATTGTACACCACCTTTTTCAGAGCTCCTTTGTTGTTGTTAATCCTCACCTGAGGATTTTTTCCCCCCATTGATTTTTAGAAAGAGTGGAAGAGAGGGGGAGAGACAAAGAGAGAGAGGAACGTGGATGTGAGAGAGACATCAATTGGCTGCCTCCCGCACACCCAGACCGGGGCTGGGGATCGAGCCTGCGACTGAGGTACATGCCCTTGACTGGAATTGAACCCATGACCCTTCAGTCTGAGAGCTGACACTCTAACCAGCTAGGGCTTTCGGAGCTCCTTTGACCATGCACTCCAGCCTATGGTTGGCTTTGCTTCCCCAGGTGGCTCCCCATGCAGTGGGGAGGAAGGCACTCATTTGAGACAGTTACAGAAAACTGTTGAGGCAGGAGCTGGAGGAGCAGTGGGCAGAGAAGAGGGGAGATTGGCAGGAATCAGATGGGATTTTTGTGTGGGCAGGGAGAAGGTAAGCACTAAAGTCCAGGTTTAACACCACGGTGGAGAACAGTAAGCGGGGAGCCCTCTCCTGGGCACCAGGACAGGCTCCAGCCCCTTCTCTGCTGCTTCCAGGGCGAACTTTGCGCTGCAAGGCTTTCTACAGCGTCAACGGCTCTGTGTACTGTGAGGAAGATTATCTGGTGAGTGAGAGGGATCCCCTGGGCTTAGAATTGGCTCCCACACTGGGACACCCTTTTTGGTGGCTCATTGGAGTTCCATCCATCAGGTCATTCTCAGTTTATAATATCCTCCCTTGGTCTCTAGTTTTCAGGGTTTCAGGAGGCAGCTGAGAAATGCTGTGTTTGTGGTCACTTGATTTTGGAAAAGGTAAGCAAATATCTTTAGCAGAGACTCTGAGTGAGGCTGAGGGGTGGAATCGGGGACTAAATGGATACTGAGAAGGGGTTTGGGGAGGGACACACCTATCACCAGATGAATCACTTTCATCCATTCCTTCCCAGAGCAACTGTTGAGAGTGGCTTCTCTGCCTCTGACATCAAGTCCTGACACCTAATCCTGCCATCCCTAGACCTGTGTGATCTGGCCCCTCCCTAATTCTGCAGGCACAGCCTGGCCCTCCACCTGAGATAGGACTATGGGGTTCTGGGTTTCAGTCCCCTTTCTGCTACTAGCTAGGATCAGCTGGAACTCAGTTTTCTTTTCTATAAGAAAGGGGGATTGGATTAGATCAGTGGTTTTCAGCAATGGCAGCCTAGCAGATCACCTGAGAAGAAGCAAAGAAAAATGCCAAAGCCTGGGTCCTCACCAGATACTGTGATGAATATGCCTGGATAAAATCCTGGGGTGGGGCCCTGGCTTTGCTGGTCTTTAAAAGCTCCCTGGGTGTCCCAGCCGGTGTGGCTCAGTTGGTTGGAGCATCATCCCATACACCAATATGCGACTGGTTTGATTCCTGGTCAGGGCACATACCTAGGTTTCAGGTTCAATCCCCGGTCAGACAAAGTGTGTGCAGGAGACAACTGATAGGTGTTTTTCTCTCTTTCGCTTCCTCGCACTTTAAAATCAATAAAAGCATGTCTTCAGGTGAGGATTTTAAAAATAAAAATATTAAAAGCTCCCTGGATGATCCTTCTGCAGCCAGGGCTGAGAACCATTAGCTCTCTAAAGCCTTTTTCAGGGTTTCTGCCTCCACTTTTAAAAAAAAATTGATTTTTAGCCCTGACCAGTTTGGCTCAGTGGATAGAGCGTCGGCCTGCGGACTGAAGGGTCCCAGGTTCGATTCCGGTCAAGGGCATGTACCTTGGTTGCAGGCACATCCCCAGTAGGAGGTGTGCAGGAAGCAGCTGATCGATGTTTCTCTCTCATTGATGTTTCTAACTCGCTATCCCTCTCCCTTCTTCTCTGTAAAAAATCAATAAAATATATTAAAAAAAATAAAATAAAAAAAAATTGATTTTTAGAGAGAGAGGAAGGGAGAGGAGAGAAAAACATCAATCTACTGCCTCCTGCACTCCCTCCACAAAGGATCAAGCCTACAACTCAGGCATTTGCCCTAACTGGGAATCAAACAGGCAACCTTTCAGTGCATGGCACAATGCCCAACCAACTGAGCCACACCGGCCAGGGCTCTGCCTCCACTTTAAGACTCCTTGGTCCCCTCAGATTCTATAGCATTGTTCTGGAAGGATAGCAGGGGGTTGGGTGAGTTTTGTGAGAGCAGGGAACAACATGGGTAGCTGGGAAGGTGGGACTGGAGGGAGACTGATTCTCTTCCCACTCCACGAGCCAGATCCTACAGGCAATGGGGAAGTCCTATCACCCAGGCTGCTTCCGATGCATCGTGTGCAACAAGTGCCTGGATGGCATCCCCTTCACAGTAGACTTCTCCAACCAGGTGTACTGTGTCACCGACTACCACAAGTGAGTCCACCCCTTGCGGTATGGTGTGGAACTGGGCTCAGGATTTCCGAATCTCAGCTCATCTCTGCCCTCTCTCTTTCAGAAATTATGCTCCTAAATGTGCGGCTTGCAACCAGCCCATCCTCCCCTCAGAGGTCAGTATGTCTGGGTTCTCCTGCAGGGCAGCCAGTGCTGCTGCCTCTGGGGAAGGGATGGGAACGTGCGGCCTGGACTCCCTTGGGATGCTGTGGTGCTGAGGAATGTACTCTGTGAAGATTCCCGTGTGACTCTGCTCTCAGGGTTACCACCCTGACCCTAACATCCGGGCCTGGACATGTCTGACAGCCGCACTGGGCCCAGGCTCTGTCTCTTCTCTCCCAGTCCAGGGAGGCAGACTTTCTTTGAGGTCAAGGTCACCAGAGGCCAGTGTAGAGGCTGGGAAAAGGGGGGGGAATCCTCAGGGCCAGTAGGAAAAGGTTGGAAATGATTTATCCTGTGTGTGCTGAGGTTGTGCTTAGCCAAAGCAAACGAGCGCTATTGGACCTCCTGTTCCCAGCTTAACCTCCTTTATTTATGCCGCCTGCCCCTTTCCCTTCCCTCCGCTTCCCCTACAGCTGGTAGAGATAGGTAAGGCCACGCCCTGGAGACAAGGAAAGGGAGGGAAGTTCCAGGAGGATTTGCAAAGCCCACCGGGAAGCTACAGATGATTGCAGAGGGCTCTGGAGGCCTTTGTGTGATCTTACCATTGGGGTGGCAGGGGCCTGTGCAGGGGAGGGTGAAGTTGGGCTGTCAAACGGCTCTCATCTCCATGGGGGTCTGCATTATTTCAGGGCTGTGAGGACATTGTGAGGGTGATATCCATGGACCGAGATTATCACTTCGAGTGCTATCACTGTGAGGTGAGTGTTGGGGGCCAGGACTGCTGGAAAATTGGAATGGGGCCCAGGCAAGAGCAAGCCCTAGACTTGACATAGGAAAGTATAGACCATAAATTCTAGGAAAGTGCTCTGACCCATCTCCAATCTATCTCATCCTCCAGCCACTCTCTCTGGCCCTGGTTGGTTAGTCCTTTCTGAATAGGGTCTCCTGGTATCCACTGGAAATGGGAGCCTGTCTCATTATTTTTGCTATAGCAGCGACACCTGGTGTCCAGCCGAGGTATTTTCTCAGGTTTCTCTTCTGGGAGTCCATCCCTTCCAACCCACCCTTTTCCCCTAGTCATTAGAAGTCTGGTGTTGAGTAGGTGCCTGGGCTGAGGTGAACTAGGTGTCCCTTTTCCCTAGGACTGCCGGATGCAGCTGAGTGATGAAGAAGGCTGCTGCTGTTTCCCTCTGGACGGGCACTTGCTCTGCCACAGCTGTCACATGCAGCGGCTCAACGCTCGACAGCCCCCTGCCAACTATATCTGAGCTGCGGTCACTGCTGCTGCCATCACCACCATTGACAAATTCCTCTGGCCAGTGGGCCCCTGAGGCCAGCTGAGGCAAGGATGTACCTTGCAGGCCTGGCAGAAGAGTCCTTTGGGGAGGGCCCCAAGGGCCAGAGACCCAAAGATCATGACATTCCAAATGGATTGTGGAGGAGGAACCTTCCAGTTACCATGGTGGGGGTGACTGGCTTCCTTCCCACATGTGCAACCTGTGCTGTAGCATATACTTAAGCACACACAGGCGGGCTCCCATACACTGTAAAGGTCTGATTCTAGTCTGTATTTCCAGTATAAGTCTATGTGTAAATCAGCAAATGCTGTGGTCCTGGATTACAGGAAGGGAAGACATCATGGAAGCTCCTAACTATTTTGTACCCCACACACGGGGTCAGATAGGAGGTCAAACAGGTTCTTACCACACCACAGTCTCTTATTTCTGTATCTAGATGAAGAGGTGGACCTTATAAATGAGTTATTTCTTGGTCACCTGCTCTCTAAGGACTAAGAGAGCTGCTCACCTCAAGGCTGGGAATAGAGACCAGCTCCAGGTGGGCTGCTGCCTGTATTGCCTGATTCTCAGGGACTCACGTGAGCCTGGGAAGACTAACTGGGTGCCTGTACTTCTCCTCAGCTGGTGGAGGTGGTAATGAGTAGGCCTTGGGGTATGGAATTGCTGGGGGAGACATTTATGAAGCTTCGAGCTAGTCACACTCCCCAGGTGTAAGTGCATTGAGCCCTCCGGCCCAGTATAGGCACCCAGGGGCATGTTCTCACACACACCTACTCGCTCCCTTCTCAGGTCACTCTTGCACCTGGTCCCTAGCAGCAGCTCACTACTCCAGAGCTGCCACCTTTCAGAGGGATCCAGGATTACATCTACTGTAACCCCCAAACTTTGAGGTTCTGGGGCGCCACAGGGGCAGAACACTTTGACTTGGTTCTAGTTCAGTTTTGCTGAAATTCGTTTACCTAAAGCTAGATCTCTTAAAACCATTTCACTGAAAACCTGTGTGTTCAAAGTTACTACCACTGCCAAAGGCTCAAATCCCTTTTGGGTATTTTTTTATTTTTATTTTTTTAGCCATTTAGGTATTCTATTCTTTTTTGTCATGCTTTGGGTATTTCAAGGATTTATATCTATTCATCCAAGAGTACTTCTGAATTGCCAGCAACATAAATTTATCAAATTTGCAGCACTTTGTAAATGATAAGATTGCTTCCTCCTACCTTGATGGGTATCTCTATGTTATTTGCTTTTCAAACACTTTTTTTAAAAAAGCTTAAAGTTTCTAGCAATAAATATAATTGGTACAGACATTTTGTGTATCATTTTTTTGTGTGTTTCTTAATCCAATATTCCTTTACAAATTAGATGCCCTGAAAAAAATAACGAAGCTCAATATGATTTTATGCTTTGGTCTAACTTCTACACCCATGCTGTTAAAATGCCAATATATCCAAAGCAAATGAACAGGCATGTGGCTTATTCAGTTGACTAACAATTCAAGGTTATACAGACAACATCATTAAATAGTGAAAGTGTGAATCTGCTAGATTCTTTTGAAAATGCTGCAGATTTGATAAATATTTATTTTAGACTAATTATCTCTAGGTAAATTGGTTTTAGGCAAATTAATCTGATAATTAATCTTGGATCCTTAGTCTTCATTCTCTATCACTTAGAATTTCACAGTGGAAATGATGACTCCTGAGAACAGACATTTCACATTTAGGGATTATTCTAAGATGACTGTGCCAGCCAACTCGGGAAATGCAGAGAAGAGACCTCAGTGCGAATGTGAGTGAGAGAGTTCAGATTCATGCCACTGACTGCCTGAGGTGGGAAATGCACTTTTTTGGAGGGATGAATGTTCTGGTCCTAGATTACTTGTTCTACAGCTGAGATTCTGAACTATTATCATTAAATAAGTGAGTACAAAGACTGTGACTGGGAAATTGTCTCAGCAGGATCCTCCAGGCCTGGGAAATGGGAGAAGTATGTGTAGCTTTATATCCATCTCTTCAGTTCTGTCTTTACTCTTGGGAGTCTTGTCTACTCTGTCATTCTGATCCTTGTGCTTTACTCTGATTTTGACCTCCATCTGCTGCTGACTGGCTGATTCGTATCTAGGTCTATGCTCACCAAGACTCTTCTTGCCACTGTGGCTACCCTCCCTTCCTGAGGGAAAACAGTGCTAACATTTGATGAGGACAGGCCCAGGGAACAGCAGCCCCAGCCACCCTGGTTACCGGCAGGCTCCAAAGTGTTCCCTGCATCGCAAGAGTTTTCCTTCTTTCTACTTACTGGGAGGCTGCTCATCCTTAATAGTTCTATCTAATATTTACAGTTGATAGTGAGATTCATAGGGTGCTGCCATGGTACATCAGCAGGTAAACTGTGGCAACTCACCACCTGATTTTCATCAACAGCCACTAAGCCTAAAAATGAGGGAAGGGAGAAAATGGAAGGATTATGGATCCATTTTGTGTCTCTTTAGAGTCACAGGACAGGGTTCATGCAGGCTTTCACGGAAGACGTTGGGTGTTAGCTTTCGCTAGCCCCGTTTGTTACAGGCCTGAGTGTGGTTTATCAAGAATAAGGCTGGTGGTGGTTCTCGCTCTGCCTTACTCCTTAGACATGTTTCCCCTTTCACCATCTGGAGCTCTCAAGACTAGGAAATTTATAGTCAGACTGGAGACTGTCCTCAGCCAAGGAGGAGGACAATTTGTTTCTATTTTGTTTGTTCATTTATTTTGTTCTTAAGATTCCACACATAAGTGAAATATGGTATTTGTCTTTCTCTGATTTATTTCTAGAGAAAGAGCTAATTCCAGGCCCATAAAGCCAATTGGTTGGTCCTTGATATTATACCTGTACAGAGGGAATAAAAGGTGGAAGGAGACTATTAGACCTGAAATAAAAGGGTTGGGGGAAACATTTTTATTTCATTTTGTTTTTTAGAAAGACCCATACCCCAGATCTGGCCTGGGGTCATTCAGAACCCTAATGGTGAGGTTCCACTGCAAGGACAAGGGTCCCGCCAGTCTCAGCTCTCCACCCTCTCTCCCCTGCAGCAAGAAGACCTAAGACTGGGCCTCTGCTGTGACAATGGCTTGGATAGGGCCCTTGGAATATCTACACTTGGCTCTAGTTGTAAAAGACTAAGGTTTGACCTTGGAAATATAAGCAAACTTCCTGGGATGTGTAGATTAGACCCGTCTAACTGATGGTAGGAGAGTCATCAGAGGCAAAATTTTGTCCACTGTGGGTATTATTGCACCTAAGTTTAGATAGGATACTGCTGACTGTGAAGGAAGCAAAGGTGCTCTCCAAGCAGGGAGAAATGGGTTAGGAGGGATACTAAAAGGTACTGCTTATGCATGTATCCTGGAGACCTAGAGCCAATCTGGGTGTGATTTTAAAGACATCCCAGAAACTCTGAGCAGTAACTTACCCAATGTCACATCTAGAAAATGACTTCTAACTTCTGAAGCTCAACAAAGAGCTTATTTTCCCTCTTCCCACTCAGCCCATCACAGGTATTCATTGCCACAGCACAGGTAAACTGTAAATGTGACAAGTACTTCATTATGATAGATATGTAGGGGATGTTTTAGTGGGAAAGCCAGGGAACACAAGAAACAATAATGAAAACATTGGCTCTTACTGGTGCTTTTTTGTTGTTAATTAGAATTAGCGGTAGCCAAAGTAACTTTAAAGCACAGTAGGAAAGGACCTGGCTAGGTAGCTCAGTTAGAGCCTTGTCCCGATATGCCAAGCTGGGTCCAATCCCCAATCTGGGAACATACAAGAATCAACCAATGAGTGCATAAATAAGTGGTACAACAAATCAGTCTCTCTCTCTCTCTCTTCCTCTAAAAACCATTTTTAAAAAAAGCATATTAGGAGAAGCAAAGGAAATATATTGCAGGAGACTCCCTGCCTTTGAGGAGGTCACAGTCTAGCCAGGGAGAAAAGTACATAAAATGCCTTGAGAAGATTACAAGCAATATTTCGACAAGTGCAAAGTGATTGAGTGTGAGAAACAGAAGACCTAATGCTCCAGGGTACAGATGACAGGGAAGAGATTTTATCTGGCTTATACTATAGATCAGAAAGTGGAGGCCCATAACTAGATCCTGCCCCCAAATTAATTGAGTTTGGCCCACTGGTGGTTATTTTTTATAAAACCAATTTGTACCTAGTTGGGAGAAAAACACCAGCTAATAAATATAGAAAAAGTGATAGAATTTGAAAAACAGCATTTTGTGAAATTAATGAAAGTATTGATTTGGCAAAGATTATTAATTGATGTTAAAACCATAGGTAAAATGGTTGGTGGACAACTGGACATCCATATAGTGCCAAGCAACACTATCAGTTTATAGTATTGAGGCCAAAAATGTATGTTGGAGGGATCAGACTGTTATCACTTGTTTTCTGGAATGGGTCTTAGTAACACTAACCAGTAGACCAATTCTGGTGAGAGGCAAATAGATAACCCAACCTGGTATACATTCTAGCTATTCCCCACCCCCAAAAAAGAATTAATTATTAGATGTAACTTGCAGTTTACAGGACACTAGGAGGGAGCAACTAGACAAATCTAAAAGGTGAGGCATTCTTCAGGGCACCTGGCCAGCTCTCTTCAGCAAGTCGGTACGATTTTTTAAAAACATGTTTTTACTGATTTCAGAGAGAGGAAGGGAGAGGGAGAGACAGAAACATAATGATGAGAGAATCATCGATTGGGTCCCTCCTGCATGCCCCACACGGGAACAAGCCCGTAGTCCATCCATATGCCTTGACTAGGAATCGAACTGCGACCTCCTGGTTCTTGTGTCGACGCTCAAACACTGAGCCACACTGGCCGGGCTGTATGAAAGTCAAAACTACTAGGTAAGTACCTTAGAGATACTTAAGGTATATGATAATAACATAATGCATGGTCCTGGATTCCCTATTGGTTTAAACAAGTTGCTATAAAAGATAACTAGGGTCGCCCTAGCCCAGCCGTGGGCAAACTACGGCCCGCGGGCCAAATCCGGCCCATTTGAAATGAATAAAACTATTGAAAAAAAAGACCGTACCCTTTTATGTAATGATGTTTACTTTGAATTTATATTAGTTCACACAAACACTCCATCCATGCTTTTGTTCCGGCCCTCGGGTCCAGTTTAAGAACCCATTGTGGCCCTCAAGTCAAAAAGTTTGCCCACCCCTGCCCTAGCCAGTTTGGCTCAGTAGATAGAGCATTGGCCTGCGGACTAAAGGGTCCCAGGTTCGATTCTGGCCAAGGGCATATGCCTGGGTTGCGGGCTTGATCCCCAGTAGGGGACATGCAGGAGGCAGCCTATCAATGATTATCTCTCATCATTGATGTTTCTTTTTTTTTTTTCTTTTTTTAAAAATATATATTTTATTGATTTTTCATAGAGAGGAAGGGAGAGAGATAGAGAGAGTTAGAAACATCGATGAGAGAGAAACATCGATCAGCTGCCTCCTGCACATCCCCCACGGGGATGTGCCCGCAACCCAGGTACATGCCCTTGACTGGAATCGAACCTGGGACCTCTCAGTCCGCAGGCTGATGCTCTATCCACTGAGCCAAACCGGTTTCGGCATCATTGATGTTTCTATCTCTTTCCCTTCCTCTCTAAAATCAATGAAAGTATATATATATAAAAAAAAAGATAACTGGGGTCAATTGGGAAATTTTTAGTATGGATGGGATTAGATAAGGTGCAAATTTACTAAAATGAAAAGTTCAAAATCATTAACAAAATGCCAGTTCCAAAACCATATATACAGAATAATCATATTTTGTTTATAATATGTCTATATATTTATTTTAAAAAGATCTGAAAGGATATGCCCTAAGGCAATCTCTGGTGAAAATGTTTTATTGCTGTTAGTCTACATTTTCTATTTTTATACAATACATGTGTATTGCATCTGTAATAATTATTACAAATAAAATACCTGGTTGCCAGCATTGATCACTCAGGAAATTTCACATAAAAATCTGGATATTGTATATGAAGAGCTGGATTTCTAAGTGTGTTTTTTCCAATAATCAAATATGTCACCCCTGGACTTCCATTCCCACACGGCAACAATCGTTTGGAACCAGGTGACGGCTGCTCCTTTATTCTCTCCTCGTTTGTCACGCTCCCTACCATTCCTTCTTCTGTATGCTTCACAAATTGCTTACCTGCCTGATTCCCGCAGACATCTGAGACAGTAAACCTTGATTTGGATTAACTTAATGGCCTCCCCATCCATACAGCCTCTCATTATCAATCATTTGAAGGTACCAATAAATTAACTGACCGAGAAAAGCATCCATTTCAGAATTACCTGTGCCTGTGTGTGTTTTTTAAAATATGTGTTTATTAATTTTTAGAGAGAGAGGTAGGGAGAGGGAGAAGAGAGAGAGAGAGAGAGAAACATCGATAAGAGAAAAAGCCTCCTGCATGCCCCCTAGTGGGGATTGAGCCGAAACCCAGGCATATGCCCTGACCAAGAATCAAACCAAGACCTCCTGGTTCATGGGTCGACACTCAATCACTGAACCTTGCCAGCTGGGCTGGGTGTCTGTGGTTGTTTTTTTTAAATAAGGCAATCCAGTCACGGGAAACACAGATTTAATACTTCATCTACTTAGCTACCATGGTTGCATACTGTAAGTTAGTTAGCAAAATTTCTCTTTGGTAAATGGAATCTAGGAAGTATACTAAATTGCTAACTTCTTTAAGGTTTTGCTTTTTTATCCTAGCACCTTAATCATAGGAGGGGTTTCAAATTTTACAATATATGTTTTTCCCAAGCATGAAACTCCAAATGCCCTTTGGTTGGTCTGTTTCTCTCACTGGTTCTGATACACTTTTTACAGGAGAAAATCTCTTTCATCTGTAACTCAGTATAAGACAGTGTTACCA